CACCAACACTTGGTGCATAGCTTTGTGCTTGTTGTAACCTCTCCAACTCTCTTTATTATAATAAAGAGGATTAAACTCATTTAGGAGTCCAATGTGGGATTGACTCTTGACCCTTCAAATCCCACAACCAACGTTTTACGTGCCTTTTTATGGCTAACTTTAACAATTTATTTCTCACTCACCGAAAATCAGTTTTGAGAAAATAAATATACCACGAGTATCTACTCGGAACGTAGAATTTTTCTACAATATTTAATTCAACACAAATTAAATATTTAGCCATAAAAAATTCAGTCAAAATCGGGTCAAACCCATATTTTATAACTGATTTTTCCAACACATTTCAGGTAAAAAAATAATTAAATAGATATAGACATTCCTATACACTATCCGTAACAAAAATTATTGAGCAGGTTACATTAGTATATAAATTAAATATATTCTCTTTAATTTAGTATGCACATTAAAAGTTTTAAGAATGACAAATTAATTAACCAAACTTGAAACATAGATTATTAATTACCTACTTGATTGCCTATTTAATTATAAAATTTTTGATTTAAAGCAAAAATATAACTATTACAAGGAAAATACAATTATTTTACCCCCCCCCCCCAAAAGAAAAACAATTTCCATGAAAATTATAAATATTCTATAGTAAAATTGTAGAGCAACAAACTATTACAAAAATTATTGTCTCACAGTTTAAAATTAGACTATTAGAAATATTTTATTATGTATTTTGTTTATATTCCAAACAATTAAATAACTTATATGTATTAAATTATTTCACAGTTAACATGTTGTTGGAATATCACTTGTGAGTTGTCCCACATTGATTCTATAAGGAAAATGAGTCTAGTATATAAGCCTAGTGGGCTACTCCTCCCATCACCAATTGGTTTTGGGATGGAACCTCACTATGGTGCACCTAGACTCACCCTCTTATGGTGCGTTTCATTTAGTGGGACCGCACTCTCTTCCCCCATTCTAACACATGTATTATTGAAGATACAATTATATATATATATATATTTTTTTTTCTTATTTTCCATATCATATATCAAAAATGAATATTAAGATATGCCAAAATTAATAACAAATGATTATCTTGATAATGTGAGTTCATCAAATTATACTCAATTACATTTTTTTTTTATTTATGTATATATGTCAATTAAATTAGTAGTAAAATAGTATGTTATTTCACTTATTTGGCTCAACTGGCATTGGATTCATATATCTATGCAGGGAATGTGCAGAACATGATTGTACAATTCATGCTGCTGCTTCACTGTCTCATCTCACATGCAATCTCCCCTCTCTCAAAGGTACAATCCTCTTTTCCATGGTGCATGTGCTCTCCATGTGCATTAAATTAATCCCC